GCGGCAGGAGGCGGCTGCGGCGCTCGGCCATGTCCATCATGATGGCTTCCATCTGGAAGTGCGTGCCCAGGATCCCACAGACGTGGAAAACCTGGTGGCTGTGCCCTGCAATGGAGACAAAAGCACTCGGCAAGAAAGTCCAAAAAACACCACCGTGGGGGTCAGCATCTGCTGCCTCCGGACAGCTCATTTTACAGATATGTAGTCCCCTAATTTCTGTGAAGCACCGCAGTGCCACAGGTGAGGGGGGCTTTTTTGCATGACAAATGAGTGTTTGCAGTCATGCAAACCTCTGCGAAACATTTGGGGAGCAGCACATGGCCAGAGCGGCACCCAGGCGCTGCTGCTGCGTCTTCCATGGAAAACCACGTTTTGCATTCCCAGCAGGGAATACACGATAACCTCTGGGAGTCACTCATGCATTAACGTGCTTTCACAGAAACCCAGGATGTGAGGAGTTGGAGGGGACCTGGAAAGCTCCCCCAGTGCAACCCCTGCCAGAGCAGGATCACCAGAGCAGTCACACAGGAACACGGCCAGGGCTTTGGGTGTCTCCACACAAGGAGACTCCACAACCTCTCTGGGCAGCCTGGGCCATGCTCCATAACCCTCACACTCACAAACTTTGGCCTCATCTTCACCTTGAACCTCCTGTGCTCCAGCTTGGGACCATTGCCCCTTGTCCTGCCATTGGCCATCCCAGAGCAGAGCCTGGCTCCTTCCTCCTGACACTGCCCTTTCCAAATGGATCCCCAGGAATGAGGGCACCCCTCAGGCTCCTCTGCTCCAAGCTCAAGAGCCCCAGCTCCCTCAGCCACTCCTCAGCAGGAGATGCTCCACTCCCTCCATCACTTTGTGGCCCTGCTGGACTCTTTCAAGCAGTTCCTGTCCTTCTGGAGCTGAGGGCCCAGCACTGGACACAAGATTGCAGCTGTGGTGTGAGCAGGGCAGAGCAGAGGGGCAGGAGAACCTCTCTGCCCTCCAACCACCCCTTCTCATCCAGCCCAGGATGGCGTTGGCCTTCTTGGCTCAAGGGCACATTGCTGGCTCATGGGCATTGCTGCCACCAACACCCCAGGTCCTTTCCAGCCACTCGTCCCCACGCCTGCAGCATCCATGGCATTATTGTGGTTGAACCTCAAACCTTTCTTCCTGAAAATACTGAGGAAACAACACCAGCTCACCCCTTCAGCTCTTACCGATGTAGTCGAAGTGCCCTGGTGCGAGTCTCTCTGGGAGGTGGCTGGCGAAGATGAAGCAGGTGAGGAAGGCAAAGGCTGTGTGCTTGTAGTGGAGCAGCACCGCTGGCTCTGTGCAGCTCTCCACCGCGCACAGGTAGAACTGTGGGATACGTCCATGAAGAGGAACC